TACCTTGAATCCATCTTCTCCTGGCATCTATTTTATCTGAATGAAAAAACAGACGAACCCACTGGGAGACCACACTTCATGCACACTACATTATTCAGTTCACTGTTAAACCCAATGGTTTGTTTGAAAATGTATTTTAGTCCTTGGCTGAATTATTAAGATAAAGAATTACATACATTGTTAAAGATAGATCTGTGAAGCTGGGTGTCCCCTGATGGCAGTGAAAAGTAAATGTGCCAGGATATAACAGTGAGTTGTTGCCAGCCGTGATACTCTAGCTGGCATGATTTTCATCTTGTGAATCTGTATGTGTCTGTGTGTAGATGTGGCAAAATATTTCTCTGGCAAAACCTGCACCAAAGGACGTGTCTGCCTCCGGATTTTAGCAGATCTGAAACTTTCCAGGTGTTCAGTTTAGATCAAAAAGAAGCCACATCTCAAAAATCACCATAGCCTGATTGTGAACACAAAGTACTGTTTCGATAATATATTTATTACTAAATTAGATTTTTACCAATTATATATCAGAAACCTAACACGTCGCAGGTAACACGATGCCATCACTACACGTTCTTTAGCTTTTTATTTCTGAGATATCAGTTTTTGACCATTATTTCTGACCTTGGTGGCTGCCTTTGTGCCTCAGCCATTATTGTTGGGTAGCTGAAGCCAGTCAGAGGTGTAAATCAAAGTGGTTGCAAACAGAAAATGCTTCATTATAGATTGTGTGTATTCCTGAAGTTGATCAAAGGACGGGTGGTATGTAAATTTCATGCCTATCGAAGTGAAAGAAATCCTCCAACTGCGAATAAAATAACAGTGGGTAAAATAATGGGATGTAAACCGAGCTTTCTGGAGCTTTAATGGCAGAGGCTTTGTAGATAAATGCCATCTTTTTTTGTCATGCTCTGTCCTAACTCTTTTGTTATCAATGCTCTAATAGTCACCTCCTGCTGTTGCCTCTGTGAATGAGGAGTGATGCAGTGATGACTGCACATGTCACTGTCAGAGGTGCAACCTTTACTATCTTGTTTGTTTTTTAATATAAACGTCTTCAGAGAACAAACAGGTCGGGGAAAACTCAAGAGCACCGTATCAGAAGTGACACAGTAAAACTGAGCCTTATCTCAACTAGAATTTGTATTGTTAGGGGTGTTAAATGAATGACCGGTGGCGATCCATGATCACCAGGATATTTAATTTTCTCTGTGTTTATTATGTAGGAGTTTCCCAAGCAGAGGCATTAAAGGAGGAGAACGACTCCCTACGCTGCCAGCTGGACGCCTACAGGAACGAGGTGGAGCTGCTAAAACAAGAACAAGGCAAAAATCAGCCAATTAGGAGCGAGGAGGACAACACTCACTCACAGCAGCTCAGCTTCCTGCAGCAGGCTCTACAAGGCATGCAGAAGGTGATGCTTATCGTCTACACAGACGCATACAGACACATTATTCTGTCCAACAGTGGGTTTAAGCTCCTATTGGTTCCTGTCTGCACTGGGTACTTTGTACCAACGAGGTCGCTCAGGTTAACTCGTTGAATTTTCTAAAACCGTCGCTGTCATTTATCCATGACCCAGCACTTTAGATGGTAACTAAGTGCT